GCTATTCATAAAGTTTTCCAGTAATATATCAGACAGTGTTTCACTGCTATTCATAAGGTTTTCCCTGGCCAATTCTTTGAGAAGTGGATGGTCTCTTTCTTCTTCCAAGTTGGTCTCAGTCTGGAAGCTCTGCTGAAACCCAGGCACCATGGGTAACCCTGCTTGCATTTGAAACATGGTGGCACAGCCTCCAACCTCATAGCAACATGCAAGCCACCACAGTGTGACAAACTGACAGACAAGTTTGTCTCTCTTAGCTGTTCCAAAACTGTTCCATTCATTACCTGGACTTCCCACTACCTGTTCCAGCCATCCACCCTGGCTATTGCTTCCTGCCTGGGTGGAGGCTTTTTCCTGGCTCACCTGTATCTGGCCATCTCCCTTGGCTTCCTGCTTCCTTCCTGGGTAGCATGGATAGAGTAAAGCTTTCAGGACCTACATGTGCTGATGTGCATGAATCAAAATATGAAGAAAGAGCTGTGTGTTAGTTAAGTACCGAGATAGTGGGGTGTTGCTGGGACAGATACCTAAAATGTGGAAACTGGAGTGGAGTGCATTGTTGACCCAAGACTCTGCCAGAGAGACCCCAGCATATGGCGTAAGAGACGACAGGAGCAGAGTCAAGAGATTGACATGAGAAATGGCAGGAGCAGAGCAGAGAGACCAGCATGAGAGACAGTAGGAGCAGAGCCTAGAGACTGGCATGAAACAGTGACAGCCTTACCAGCCCATGGAAGAGAAAGCTGGATGCCATTGTGCAGGCTGTTTCCTGATGCAGTGGGTTGCCTTTGGGGGTTAATTGGTAGAAAAGACCAGCATGAAATGGAGTAGGAGGTTGGCCAACCCATGGGGCAAGAAAGCTAAGTGTCCTTTGGGCAGGGAGATTCCTGAAGGAGTGGGTTTCTCTTGGGCATTAATTGGCAGAAGTGGAGAGACCAAGGAAACAGGAAGCAGAGCTTTCTCAACCTCAAAAAGTAGGACCATGGGCTTTGGGGGTAGAACTACCACAGCCCTCTAGGTTTCAAAGAGCCAGACCTACACCAACTTGGTTCTGGAGTGTGGAGCTGCTCGTTCATGTGAGCCAGTGGGATGGAGCCACAGCTGCTGCCCAAGTGTGAGGGGGTGGGGCTATCGTGCCCAAGAGGTAGAGGAATGGGGCCCGCCAGGTCAAGGCAATGAGGTTGCCACTTAGAGGAACTAGGGGACTGGAGCCACCCAGTGAGAAAGATCTGTACAGATGCTAACCAGTGAAGATCTGTACAGGTGCCAAGTTGATAATGGGTGGAATTGTGGTAGTTAAGGTTGTGTGTCAACTTGGCTAGGTTTGGTTGAGTGGCTGGGCAGCTGGACGTAGTTATTCCCCATGGTAGGATTGGTAATTAACTCTATGGTGGAATGTATTGGAGCAGCTGAGTAGCTGCCTTAGGGATGTGGTCTGCTTCCCATATATAAGAAGCAGCTTTGGGAATGGTCTCTAGTTTATGACATGCTTGAACCCTGCATGTAGCCATGTCATTGTTCAGCAGCCTGCCATGCTCTGCTGACCTTGGGACTTTCAATGGACTTGAATTAATGGTCTGTCATGTGGTTTGGTAACATCAGGACTGTGCCTTTTTACTTGTCAACCTTGGGCTTGTCAGTCTCAGCAGACAGCAGCTGTCTGTGTGAAAAAAAAAGCCTCTAGTTCCAGTGGGCTGGGAACAGAAGACAGAGCTGAACCCCAAGGTTGAGGGGATTTCATCCACCTCCTAGTGCCTGGCACTTTGAACTTGGACTTAAAGCCTCCAAACTGTAAGAGAATAAACTGTTTGATAAAGCTATCCCATTTGTGGTATATTCTTGTCAAAGCGGCACTAGGTAACTGGAATAAGCTGTAAACATTCATTAATGATTGGAATGTGGAATGTATGAATTATGAATCTGAGAAAATTGGAAGTTGTCAAATAAGAAATGGAATGCATAAAGATCATTATCTTGGTATTAGTGAGCTGAAAGTTATCAGTGAGCTGGTATTGGCTATTTTGAATGAGATAATCAATCACATGGTCTACTATGCCAGGAATGACAAATGGAAGAAGAATGGCATCACGTTAGACATCAAAAAGAAATTTCTAAGATCTATCCTGAAGTACAATGCTGTCAGTAATAGGATAATATCCATACACCTACAAGAAAGATGAGCTAATACTGTTGTTGTTGTTAGCTGCTGTTGAGTCAATCCTGACTCATAGTGACCCTATGTACAGCATAACAAAACACTGCCCAGCCCTGAGCCATCCTCACAATCCTTGCTATGTTTAAGCCTATCTTTGCAGATATTGTGACAAGCCATCTCTTGGAGGGCCTTCCCCTTTTCTCTGACCCTCCTTTTTACCAAACTTGATATATTTTTCCAGGGACTGATCTCTTCTGAAAACATGACCAAAGTAATTGAGATGAAGTCTGGCCATTCTTGCTTCTAAGCATTCCAGCTGTACTTCATCAAGGACAGATTTGTTTGTTTTCTGGCAGTCCACAGTACTTTCAGTATTCATCACGAACACCACAATTCAAAGGCGTCATTTTTTCTTTGATTTTCCTTATTCATTGTCCAGATTTAACATGCATATGAGGTGATTGAAAATACCATACCTTGTGTTAGGTGCACCTTCCTCTTCAAAGTGACATCTTTGCTCTTTAACACTTTAAAGAAGTCCCTTGTGGTGTATTTGTCCAGTGCAATACAATGTCTGATTTCTTGATTGTTGCTTCCATGGGTTTTGATTGTGGATCCAAGTAAAACAAAATCTTTGACAACTTCAATATTTTTCTCCATTTATTGTGATGTTGCTTATTTGTTCAATTGTGAGAATATCTGTTTTCTTTATGTTGAAGTGTAATCCATATTACACACTGTAGTCTTTGATCTTCATTAGTAAATGCTTCAAGTCATTTTCACTTTCAGCAAGCAAGAATTGTTTTCTGCATTTCACAGATAAGCTTTCCTTCAATCCTGATGCTGCATTCTTCTTCATATAGTCCAGCTTTTTAGATTATTTGCTCAGCATACAGATTGAATAAGCATGGGAGTATATAACCCTGATGCACACCCTTTCTGATTTTAAACCATGCACTCTGCCCTTGTTCTGTTCAAACAACTGCCTCTTTGTTCCTCATGAGCATCATTAAGGTGTTCTGGAATGCCCATTCTTTGAGATGTTATCTAAAATTTGTAATGACCCATACAGTGCCATGCCTTTGCATAGTCAATAAAATTCAGGCAAACATCTTTCTGGTATGCTTTGCTTTCAGCCAAGATCCATCTGACATCATCAGTGACATCCCTTGTTCCTTGTCCTCTTCTGAATCCAGCTCAAATTTCTGGAAGTTCCCTGTCAATATACTGCTGCAACCAGTTTTGAACTATCTTCAGCAAAATTTTACTTGTGTGTGATATTAAAGATATTGTTCGATAATTTCCACATTCTGCTATACCACCTTTCTTTGGAAAGGGCACCAAATAGGTTGGCCAGATAGCAGTCATTCAAATTTCTTGGCATAAATAAGTGAGCTTATTCAGCGCTGCATTCGTTTGTTGAAATATCTCACTGGGTATTCTGTCAATTCCTGAAATCTTGTTTTTTTGCCAGTTTCTTCAGTGTAGTTTGGACTTCTCCCTTCAGTGCCATTGGTTCTTGATCATATTCTCCCTCTTGCAATGGATGGACATCAACCAACTCTTTTTGGCATAGTGGCTCTGTGTATTTCTCCCATCTTCTTTTGATGCTTCCTTTATTGTTCAACATTTTGCCCATAGACTCCTTCAATGCTAGTTAGCATTATTATTAGTAGTAGTTAATACTACTATTATTCAAATTTATGCACCAATGACTAAAGCCAAGATGAAGAAATTGAAAAATTTTACTAACTTCTGCTGTTTGAAACTGACCAAACATTCAATTGAGATGAATTGATAATTACTGGTGACGGGAATGAAGAAGTTGGGAACAAAGAAGAAGCATTGGTAGTTGGAAAATATGGCCTCAGAGGTAGAAAGCACTCTGGTCAACCAAAGATAGAATTTTGTAAGACCAAGGACTTATCTTTGCAAATACTTTTTTTTAAAACAACATAAACAGGGACTATACACATGACCTCACTAGATGGAATACATAGGAATCTAATAGACTACATCTGTGGAAAGAGTGGGAAGCCCCATATCATCAATCAGAACAAGGCCGGGGCCAACTGTGGACTAGGCCATCAATTGCACATATGCAAGTTTAAGTTGAAGCTGAAGAAAAACGAAACATATCCACGAGAGATAAAATACTACCTTAAGTATTCACCATTGAATTTAGAGACCATCTGAAGAATAGATTTCACACATTGAACACCAATGACAGAAGACCAGACAAGCTGTGGGATGGCATCAAGGACATCATACATGAAGAAAGCGAAATATCATTAAAAAGACAGGACAGGAAGAGAAGCCCAAAATGAATATCAGAAGAGACTCTGAAACTTGCATTTGAATGGAGAGTAGCTAAAACAAATGGAAAAAATGATGAAGTAAAAGAGCTGAACAGAAGATTTCGAAGGGCAGCTTGTGAAGACAAACTAAAGCATTATGATGAAATGTGCAAAGACCTTGAGTTAAAAAAATAAAAAAAGAAGAACATGCTCAGCATTTCTCAAGCTGAAAGAACTGAAGAAAAAATTGAAGCCTTGAATAACAATATTGAAGAAGTCTATGAGCATAATGTTGAATGATCCAGGAAACATCAAAAGAAGAAGGAAGGAATACATAGAATCACAGCACCAAAAGGAATTCATTAGTGTTCAACCATTTCAGGAGGTAGCATATGATAAAGAACCAATGGTATTGAAAGAAGAAGTCCAAGCTGCATGGAAGGAATTGGCAAAAAACAAGGCTTTAGGAATTGACAGAATACTCATTGAGATGTTTCAACAAATGGATGCAATCTGGAAAGGTATTGTTCTTGTTTGTGCCAAGAAATTTGAAAGACAGCTACCAGACCAATGGACTGGAAGAGATCCATATTTGCACTCCTTCCAAATAAAGGTGATCCAACAGAATATGGAAATTATTGAACAATATCATTAATATCACATGCAAGCAGAAGGTTGTTGAAAACAATTCAAAAACAGCTGTAGCAGTACGTCAACAGAAAAATGTTACAAATTCAAGCTAGATTCAGAAGAGAATGTGGAACAAGGGATATCATCAATTATGTCAGATGGATTGTAGCTGAAAGCAAATAATCCCACAAGGATGTTTACCTGTGTTTTATTGACTATGCAAAGTCATTGCACTATGTGGATCATAACAAATTATGAATAACATTGTGAAGAATGGGAATTCCAGAACACTTAA